TTTTATATATTTTTTTCTATATATATATATATATATATATATATATATATATATATATATATATATATACTTTTTAACTATACTATACTTTTAAAATGTTGGCCCCATTCACTTACATTGCAAGTGCCTCACTCTAACCCAGATTTTTACTCAAGTAAAAAATAAAGAGACAGAGAGAGAGAGAAAGGTGGGACAAGTGGAAAAATAATTTCAGTACTGTTTAAGATTATATACACAATATATACATAATGATTGAGTTGTACTGAACCCAGAATATTCCTTTAATGAAAGTGAATGACTGCTAATCAGCTGTGTTTAGTACAGCATATTCTAATTTTCAGTGTCTTAGTGTTGTGTTGTAGAGCGGGTTGGATTGAATCTCTTGGGAAACTTTGAGCAGGTTTCACACTGAGCTGTTTTCATTAGTGAAAGCTGACATCTGAATGCGCTCAAGTCGTGTAGCGCTTGTACACCTGTCAGAATGAACGCTATACGACAGCTCCCTCGTTCATTAATGTCAAACACACACATACCTCCACGTCTGCGCTCCAGTACAGTAAGCAGTGTCTAATGTTTCGCCTTACTTTCTCACCTCTATATAGATGCCAGGACACTCAGATATCGCATAGCTAGACAGACACTCACAGGCCACGCTCTTAATTGACAATCTGTGGAAGATCTGTGTGAGATGTTTGATGTGTGTGAGGGAATATGGCACGGATCAGTGCTCAATCCCTGCTAAAGTGCATCAATTAGTGAAGATTGGGAATGACACCTGGCAGATTTTTCCATCATCATGATGGCAGGAGCAAAAGAGTACAGGGACTAAAGCCTTATTCGCACGGGATTAGTATTATCTGGGGACCTTGTGTGATTTTGAAATTAGCCCCCCACATCTGAATTTCGTGTGGTGCATTCGCATGGGATAAGCGATGCCTGTGATTTTACTCGAATTTACTGACTTTTCTCCCGGATACCCGGATGTCAAGGCTTTGAGAGTCCCGTTCTATGGTCCGGTTAGATGGATTTAAAAAAAAGAAACTAATATAGTTTCGTGCGCTGTGTCATTTACATTTCACCAGGTTAAAATTATATCTCAAGCTTTGTGCTTGATTTATTTGTAACACATTAACCTCAAAACCTTTTCAGCTTTCTCTTTCTGCAAATTGTATGGTGTAGCGATATGATGACAGCACCCAAAATACTATCAAACACTCCTACGCAGCTCCATTCTTCGCGAAAGATGGATAAAAAGGCCCACAGGAAACAAAAACCTCGAAAAATGATATACAACCCGCCAAATGCTGGCCGAATCACAGAGATGCCGTTTCGCACGGGACTAATATTATCACAGCAGCTCGGTGTTCGGCGAAATATGGTAGGTCATTTGCGGGGGAATTTTTACTTTACAAATTACAGACATGGCCGATTCGCATGGGATTAAGGTCACAGACAAGCTCCACAATTATTACAAATGACTGGAGGTCACCAGGTAATACTAATACCGTGTGAATAGGGCTTAAAACAACAGTCTTAGTTTGAGCTTTAAAAGGTATTGTTTTCATTTTTTTTGTTAATTTATGTATTTAGTTATTTATAAATTGTTATATTTATATAATTTTATATGAAACAATTATCATTAGATTTTGTCATTTTAAATCATTTTAAAGAAAGAAAGAAGTCTCTTATCCTCAATGAGGCTCCATTTTTTTGGGGTCAAAAATACAGTAGAACTGCAACTGTATTTTGAAATATTACAATAAAAATAAACTGTTTTCTATTTGAATGTATTTTAAAATGTAATTTATTTCTGTGACGGCAAAGCAGCCATTACTCCAGTCTTCAGTGTCATACAATCCTCCAAAAATCATTCTTATATACTGATTTGGTGCTCAAGAAACTGTTCTTATTATTATCAATGTTGAAAACAGTTGAGCTGCTTAATTTTTTTGTGATACACAAAATTCTCAAATTTTCTCAGGGTTCTTTGATGAATAGAAAGTTCAAAATAACAACATTTACTTGATAGAGAAATCTTCTGTAACATTGCCATAATTTGAATATATTTATTTAGATTGTCACTTTTGATCAATTTAACCCTGCTAATGCTGTTGTTTGAAGCTCTAGATGAAACTGAGTCTATTTGCGGCTATACCAGTTTTATTTTAGTATCATTAATATACTATTTTAGTTTTTGTTAATATTCTTTTTTTATATATTCTATTCCATTAATTTCTGTTATTAATGGATTTTAATGGTAATTTTATTTTATTCAATTTTTTTCATTAATATTATTATTATTTATCAGCATTTACATGATAGAGAAATCTTCTGTAACATTACCATCATTTTCTTCTTTATTATTAATTATTATTTATTTTTGAAACTGTCACTTTTGATCAATTTAATCCTACTAAGGCTATTGGGTGAAACTCTGAGTCTATTAGTGTAAAGGACAAAGAAACTTGAGTCGGTAGTGCACTTTGGAGAATGTGAAATTGGACCGAACACACAAACAACATCTGGCTTAAAACAACAGCTGTGTAACATCTTGATTTGGCTCTCAGTCAACTTGCTATCAAAAAAATATTCTAATGAGTTTCAGCAAATCTAGTTTTTCATTACATGCCGTTTACATTTTACTTGATATTGACCTTCACAGAGTTCCTCGAATAGCCTAATAAACAGCGATGTGTACATTAGTCGTCTAAACCAGCAGGTCGTAATCCTTCATTCAATTCTTCTTACTTGCGAGAAGCTTGCCGTTTACAGGATCTTGATCCCTTTCATTTTGTTCTTTGGAATTACAATCTGAACTGAGCGAGCACTAACCTGTAAATGTCATGGTATGAGTTGCACTGTTGTGTTTCCGTCAAGAGAGCGCAACAGCCTGGTAATTGTTGACGGAAGTGAGATTAGCAGGGATTTGGATGTTCTGGCATCAGAGAAATGGCCCTGCTCGACCAGAGTCTTCTGTATATAGCTTTTGAGACACGACGAGGTTAAGATTCCTCTCGAGTTAATAAAATAAATATCGGAGTATCTGCAGAGATATAATCTTCATAAATCCATTAGGGCCTCTTTGTTTAACTCCCAAAGGGGCCGTGGCTTAATTTTCCCATGTCGGAGGCTTTGGGTAATGTCTTTTTAATGACACTATCCAGGATCCTGTCATGAGCTGGGTCATCAAACTAATCTCCCACCCTCTCTTCCTCTCGCTCTCTGTCTTGTCAATACATAATGTTAATATTCAAGGCAAAGTGCTTTAGCAGGGGACCAAACAATTCTCAAGGGTCACATTAGCTCTTGTTCAAATTTTGTACATCGTCTGTTTGATTACGTCATTAACTGAATTTTACTGTACATTTCTGTCTAGAAATGTCTTCTGTCTAGTCACCACTGACAAGCTACTACTAAATATATTGTAGAAACGTAATTTTCTGTAAAGCTGCTTTGCAACGATTTGTATCGTGGAAAGCGCTATACAAATAAACTTGAATTGAAAACTTGAATTGAATTGTTCCGTGTTTGCCGAATCACACAAAAAGCTGGTTGGAAAATACTTGAGTTACAATACCACATTCAAATCACCAAAAATTTGTGATGTGCAAAATTCAGAATTTAAGAAGTGTCTCACTTTCATGTGTAAATTTGAATTGAAGTGGCTACGCTGGTCAGGAAGGGATTTACTGAATTGCAAATACAGCCTGTCTATGAAATATGATCTTAAATATATGTGACCATGGACCACAAAACCAGTCATAAGTACACTCTAAAAATGCTGGGTTGTTTCAACCCAATGTTGGGTCAAATATGGACTAACCCAACTGTTGGGTTACATTTTGGTAAAATTTTTAAATGAGCTTTTTAACCCAACAGTTGGGTTAGTCCATATTTGACCCAACATTGGGTTGAAACAACCCAGCATTTTTTAGAGTGTAGCACTGGTATATTTGTAGCAAAATATTTGTTCTTTTATGCCAAAAATCATTCGGGTATTAAGTAAAGATCATGTTCCATGAAGATATTTTGTAAATTTCCTACCGTAAATATGCTGTATCAAAACTTAGTAATAAGCAATTTAAAAAATTGACCCGTATGACTGGTTTTGTGGTCCAGGGTCACATATTAGATATAGAGTTTAAATCTTTATTACATTTTTATAGAAATTTAAATTCTACTACGTCACCTTTAAATTCAAATTGCAATCAGGTATCCAGCTTTCTACCTTAATCCAAGATTGTATATATCAAGAAAGTTCACTCATGTTACTTGAAATGGGAGAATGTGCAATGCATGATATGGCAGAATAAGTCCCACCTTCTAAATTAAAGAGCCAATCACCAAGTTGTAAAGTCATTGCATCCGTTAGAAGCTCTAGTTTGCAAACAGTCAGTGTCCTGAGATGCGTGCTCAAATAGCATTAAAAAAAAGCATTAACAACATTTATGGGTCATTTCATGACATGTTTTCATTTGAATGTGTTAATAATAATGTGTAAAATTGAATAGATTTAAATTCAGTTCCGAATGGCGCATGACCCTGTTAATCATAGAGAGAAAGAAATCGAAGGCACAGACACCACTATAGAGATTGCATTATATTTCCAAAAATATATGTACAGTCTATTACAAAGGTTACAAAGCAAAAGAAAAAATGGTCTATGTAACAAGAAATCGTCTAGGTAAATGACCATACAGTTTCTCAACTGGGGAAAATACTTTTTTTTGACCAATGAATACTCTCCATACTCTTGTCACAGAAAAATAAATAATAAATCGACAATTAATTTGTACTGTACATTTTTCCAACCTAAAAGAGAAAAAAAAAAATACTCTTCTAAAATGGAAACCTATTAGCTCTCTTTGGTCCTAAATGAGAAATTATGTACAACTGAAAGAGTGAGGGTGACGAGAATCAGCTGCATGTGAGATAGAAAAATATAGTGCATTTTCAATGAGCTAACTACAGAGTACTTAAGTGAAAAACAAAGTAAAGAAACCACAATTATAAATAAAATATACAAGTTTTACAGCTAGAGCATATACAAATTGTCCTCTGGTTTGTGATTACTCTGACACAATCAACAGTGCTGAACTCTTTGGAATATTCCACTTTACTTTTTGTCTAGGTGGGCTCTCTAGCATCTTTCGAGAAGTCTTTAATACCCTGCTGCACCGTGAACTCAATCAATCCACAGCGCAAACCGTCTTGACCGAAAACTCTGCTACCATCAAACCAGAAAAGTTAAAAACGGTACAAAGCAGAAAAGATTTGTCATTGACCCGTACGGTGGCCTCAATGTGGGATTGATTGAATCCAGGCGTTAATCTCAAATTGGCTCAAATTGCTGTCTCTACAAAGGCCCGGATCCGAGCGGAGAGGGTAAGGGCCTGCGAGGGGCCCCTGGGAGGCCGGAGTGTGAGATCAGAGCTTGCAGGGAGGCTGATCTGAGTGACTGCAGCTACTGCCGAAGCTCGAGAGGTTTGTGCTGACCGAGAGCCTTTCCGCTCACATTCAATTCAAAGGCCTGGCATGGGCTCAATGCTGAGGTTAGCGAGATGGAAGGATAGCGGATCGGAGATGAGGCTCTAACCAGGCTACGATATGATCCGCATGAGACAAACCAGCTGGGTTCACAATGGAGATGGCGTGGTACACAATGGCTTTTTTGAAGCGCCAACCGTTTGGCTAAATCCACCAGTCATGCTGCGCTCCAACGGCTCCGCCTTCGCTTTCTTTCTAATCAAGAAAAATGCCACATGTTGGCACGGCTGTTGTGGTTAAAATGGCATTGGCTCCCCAAAATAATGGAAAACATGTTGTGTGTGTTTAAAATGTGTCACATTAAGGTTTCGTAGTAAATAAAACAAAACTACTTCAGCTCAAAGCTGACTAAAACGGTAGAGTTTTGTGGCAGCCCAGCTAATAAAAGGTCTACAGTACTCCTCAAAGTATTTAACACTAAAATGCGTAACATTTAATTGTCAACAAAACATTCAGTTGAGCGTGGAAGGCTGTTATGGCACTAAAACTTGAGCGTAAACCTCATCTTTGAGCTCAGCACAACAAAAGGGTGGAAGAAACACACCGAAAGAGATCCTCGTATATAAATTCACCAACTCTCTTTGATCAAATTTCACAGCACTGCTGCTGATTTCCAAGCAGTATGTGAGTAAAAGTATATACAGCACCTCAAATTATTGCTCATATTGGTCAGTCTCTCCTCAACTCAGCCGTGATCATACAAAGTATCTAAGTACCTAAAAATAAGAGCAATAGTTGACTTGTTTTAAGGCAGTATTACTCCTTTACACCACAACATTATATGATTTTAAAGTCAGTCACCTGCTAGGAAACCAACTGATTCTAAACCAAAATTATACTGTTGCTGAAACAATGAAATTAAAATAGCCTAACTTTTTTTTTTTTTTTTTTTTTTCATTTTTGTGTATCTTTATGGAAACATGTATTCATGGTAAATAATATCAATATTAAAAAGGACACATTCAACAACAGCACTGATAAATCCATTCATGTGGTAGGGTAAATATAAACTTATAAAGAATATTGCCACTGTAATAGTTGTTTTTACATTTAAAAAACTCCACCTGAAGTGGTTAGCAATTCTTTTTGTACTAATTCACATCTGAATTGTCATGTAGGATCATAAAATATACCTAACCGTCTGCTCGGGCTGTTCTTAAACACAACCAGCCACTCTCAGGAGCTTCACGTAACCAAGCTGTGGGATATTTCTGCTTGATATAAAAGAACGGCTCGGCCCGACTCTCTGCCAATGCTTCAGTCTGAAGAGAGCTTCATGTAAATAGTGCTGGCTGGAGAAGACAAACCTCCTCTGTCGACTTTCAGCCTCTGGTTCCGTCTTTTTCTCTCCAGATGAGACATTTTACCCTGTTGTCAGTTCTGTAACACAATCCGAGAAAACAAGCCAACACAAATCGATCGAGTAGAAGAGTAACGTCCCACATTGTCTTAATGTGGATATTACAAACCAAAGCAAAAGAAATCGCTGCAAATTCACTCCTTATGAACTGGATTTGCTTATTTTTATATTCACCCTTGATTAAAAAAAAAAGAAATCAGTGAACTCTATAGCAACTATGAGCAAATCAACCTTTTGTGACGATAAAGACAGTCCGTACAAAGCATAAAAATCCTCTCGAATGCTCCATCTCAATGACGCGATGAGTTCTTTAGAGCATCCAGAGGTCACTGTCCGTTTAGGATTCTCTCTCTTGCCTGTTTGCGTTTTCTCTCCGTCTCTTGGTTTCCAGCACCTTCGCCAAAATCCTTCGCCAATAACAAAGGAATGATTCTGTTCTGCCAGTTCTGGAAGGTTAATCTCACTGCAAGGGTGCAGAACGTTTTTTCTTTGTTGTTGATTTGTTTTTTCATATTTTTTTTTGCTGCCACACACTTTGCGGTGCTGTCCTGGAGAGTTCTGGTTCATCTGATCGGGAAGGGCTGCGGACGCCCATCACACTTGAACGCCCGTCCCGTGAAGACGCAGCATCTGGGCTCTCATAGTCTGTATACTGCTCATGATCTTCTTCTGATGGCCCACCAAGGAGATTCCCAAACTCATTACATCCCTAAAGCAGAAACATAACGTTCATAAATCACAGCAATGGAGCATGAAGCGCACAGGAGGTATTTCATTACCGAAGCAAAAGGAAACTGAGAAAAGGCCACATTAACTATAACACAATGAGTCTGAGTATGAGTCAAAGAGATCTGATTAAAATACAGCGCAATGTCAGGATGGCATTGTGAATGAGAGCTGAGGGCTGAAATTACTCCTAGAAAGATCATGCGTTTCTATAGAGCGTGTCTGTGTGCAGCAAAGATCATAGCAAGGCACTCTTACTCGATAGTCATTCTAGCGACAGATTCGAGCGAGCTGTAGCCGGCAGCTGTGAAGTTGTCTATGTATCTCTCCATCTTGATGGCTTCCAACCACTCACTGACCAATCGGAAAGAGGTGAAATCTGGAGTGTTCTGGTCAAGCAGTGGGCTTATGGGTCTGAGGAAAAGAAGAGACAAATATGAGTGTTATGACGGCACAGTACCATTATTTCTAAGTATGATATTTCTGGCATATAATAATGTCCCCAGTTGACTTTTTATGCCAAAAGTATCTATGTATGAATCTATTTGTGTGTGAGTAAATATGTACTGTATATATATATATATATATAGAGAGAGAGAGAGAGAGAGATTAGATATTTTACTAAACATGCTCTTTCCCCTTATTTTGTACATTTAGATTACCATTGTCATTGTCATTGTCTAACTTCCGTAACATGAAAATAATTCTCAGTTTGGTTAAAAAAAAAAGGGGTCTAAACTGCCCAACTCATTTAAATTTCCTGGTCTACTGCTTGGCCAATGCATTATATTTTAGAATCATGCAGTATAGCCAATGCTATTAATGTAAATAGTTTTGTTTACTTTGGTATTTTCTTTTTTAATTTCTGAATTTTTAGAATAGCTGATACTGCTTTTAAATAATAAAAACAAACTTGGTCTGCATCCTTTGGTTTTATTTGTTTTACTGCTTGTAATTCGTTTCTTTGTCTCAATCAATTACATGAAGAACTTGAAGCTGAAAAACTGGCATGTTTACTTAATTGAGAAATATTTGAAGGCTGCATGGCATTGTTATAGTTTAATTTGTTAATTTAATAAGCATTTTAAATAAGTAGGAGGTGTTCAATAGCATAATATTCTTGCAGCGGTGTTGGAACTGAGAATAATGAAATCTCACTGGTATCGTGCCAACCCTAACTCACATGGATTACAGACAAGGACACATGGTTTATTGTATTCACATTGTAGTGATTTAGTGAACTGTTGCTTTGCATTACTTGTAAAGATGGTTAGGTGGACCAAGGGCTACTTCCCTACGTTTTAAAGGTCATATCTTCAATGTGAGACACGGTTTCATTTGTGATTGTAAACACACTTCCTTCCTCTGTCTAATACCACACTGGGGACTGGAGTTCCCACAAGGCTTTAAAGTCTCAAACACTCATTATGACAATTGATTTAAAGTCCTTGTTATCGAACATGAAGGCATGGAGGCTGTTTCGCTTTATTGATTCCCCGGGATTTATCTTTCATCAGTAAACCCTAGCGGATAAATCAAATGCCGGACAGATGGAATTGTTCGCAAATTTACTCGCAAACCTATAAAAGGGCTCAAAGACATTGCAGGGAGGTGCAGGAGTATAAAACATAACAAGCAACTTCCATCTGTCGTAAAAGCAAAGCTGGTCCGTGAACGACATCATTTTCCTTGAGCAGAGATGGATAACGGCAGGCAGTAAAAAAAAAATACTGAATGGGTGTCCTCACCGTGTACACGTTCCCATTGGCGTTTTTAAGGTGTTAGGATTGCGGATCATTTTGTCCAGGATGCCGACAATCTGGTCGAATTTGGGCCGGTCTGCTCGGTCTTTCTGCCAGCAGTCCAACATGAGCTGATGGAGGCCAGGAGGGCAGTCCATGGGGGCGGGAAGACGATATCCCTCCTCTATAGCCTTTATGACCTGCAAGATCAGTGAGAGATGGAAAATTAGAAAAGGTGTGAAAGAAAACCAACAGGTTCAGAGACAGAGATACAAGAAGACAAGGAAAAACAGAGTAGCTTAGCCATTAGCATCCAGAACAAAATGTACACAAAGCCTGCCTGCACCTCCAGCTCTCCATTTACTCATCCTTTAATCAGGCCTCTGTAAACAGCAGCTTTGCTGGATAAATCTGTTGTGGTTTACCTCCAGCATTACAAACTACAACACACGGAAAAGTAGGCTAACCAGATGTGATTATTCTTGCACTGGTTATTGGAGGGCGCGTGAGCGCAAGAAAAGGGCACCACTAAACCTGGATGTGAATGAGGCAAGCGCACTAAAAGCCGTCTGTTCAACAGCTGCTGGTGACTGTCATACTATCACGAGTCTATCTAATTAACTAGCTAACAGGGTTACAGTTGAAACCAAAGATGAACGCATTGGCACTTGGGTGTCTGTGCAGTTGACTGGCTCCACATGTCAGGTTTTATGAATGTAAAGGGACCATAAAACAATAAAAACACCTGTTCCTCTACTCAGCATACTGGGCATAAGAGTTATGGGTTTATACTAAATATACAGTACTGTTTAAAAGTTTGGTGTCGGTAGGATTTTTTATTTTTTTAAGAAATTAATACTTTTAGGAAGGATGCATTAAATTGATCAAAAGTGACGGTAAATGCTGTTCTTTTGAACTTTATACTCAAATAATCCTGGGGGAAAAAAATGTATCATGGTTTCCGCAAAATATTAGGCAGCACAATCGTTTCAATATTGATAATAAAAATTGTAAAAAAAAAAAAAATTAAATTCTTGAGCAACAAATCAGCATATTAGAATGATTTCTGAAGGATCACTTGACACTGAAGACTGGAGTAATGACTGCTGAAAATTACATTTAGTAATATGTAATATTTCACAATATTAGTGTTTTGACCATTTTTAATCAAATAAATGCAGCTGTGATGAGCAAAAGAGACTTTCAGAAATGTGGACTCTCAACTAGCAGCTAAAATGATAGAATTACTTGAATCTGAGCTGACTAAACTAAACAGAGAAAAAGGCTTGTCCAGATCTATGATTTTTCCCCTCGTCTACTCCCGAGGAATAGTAGAAGCAGACTGTTTATTTTCCCCAAATCCTCATCTGCTATTCTTGTCGTGTCTCTCCAAACAAGGCTTGAGCTACGGAAAGAAAAGTGTCAAAACAGAAAGAGTTGAAGAAATGTAAATATTTCCTTCTTTTTTAGCAGCCCTCGAGGAGTTGCTTGCCTCCCCCTCAAAAGGGTATAAAAACATCTGACGTTGAGACTCCACTGAGGCAAATGTTCGAATGCAAAAAATAATAACATTAAAGACTGATACTAGCTAGTCGCTACCACTGAGGGCTAACGTTTGCTACTGAGCAGAGAATTACAAGTCATCATTAGTCTCAGTGATAAGGGCTGTTTACCTTCTCTGAGGATGTTTAAGCTTGTGCAATTTTGACAAAGAATCTGCGTACACAAGACAAGTGCCTACATACAGCGGCAGATTAACAACACTTCCCCTCATACATATCGTTAGCCGTGACCATATCTGAATTTCAATCCGCTTCAGCTTGAAAACCCTGCACGCATGTGATCAGAATGATGAACGGCACTTTGCTGTCCCAATTTCGTTGAGACAAAAGCTCGGCCCGCAGATTGTTCAGAAGGTTTTGCATGGCTAAGCAGATATCTTTGAATTGATTGAACTCTGCTAATGACGAATTTGGCTCGCATTATCATTTCTCATTATAAAGGTTGAAAGTGTAGCAGAATACAAAAACGAATTCTACAAGCAAAACACTCCATTTGTTTCCGCAGATCCATTAAACCTTTTTATGCTCAAAATGTATCATTAAAACAAGGTCACTCCTGACACCTGTGCTGATATCCAGCTAGAAAATTCAAAGTGTCAGATGTGCTTAACTGTCCTAATATTTGAATACATGCAGATTATGTTCACAAGAGTAAAAATAAGACTTTTGGTGCAAGCTGTGGTTTTACAAGACTATAAAGCAAGCTGAACGAACAAGAGAATTATTTTCTTCTAAAAGTGCCTTGATGAAGTTGAAAGAATTGTAGTTTCTGACTTTTTAATTTAAACCGCATGAGAAATGTTTGAAAGTGATCAAATATGTATAATGGCTGCATTAAAAAATGTGAATTAATGTAGAAGGAATTTAACTCTTTCCCCCGCCATTGACGAGTTATCTCGTCTTTTACAAGAAAACGCTTTTTTTCAACAAAGACGAGTTTTTACAGCTTTTCATGTTTTCTCTGTTATACACTCGGGGGAGCTATTACGCATCTTCTGAACGAGTACAAAACCTCCCGAACAAAAACACACGTGAACAGGACGGAGAAACGAGCGATCTCTTATGTAAACAGATGCATACGAAAAATAATGCAATCATCAATAATAATCAAGCAATAGACAGCATATAAATGAAAACTGCATAATGTTACGGAGTAAAATGTTGATCCAGGAAGTGGCATATGTCTATGCAAGCTTTGGAGGTGTTGATGGAAGCGATTTACTGGATTTATGCTTTAATAATCGTACTGAATATTATCCAGATGTCGTTTTTGATAAAAATTTGATTTTCTCACCTTTTTGCTCAAAATTATGCATTTTTATGAAACCTACCTATATTCAAGTATTGATAAAAAAAAAGAATGCTTTAAGCTAGAATAAAACTGATTTTTTTTTGTTTAAAAGTAGAGGCTCTGATTTTTATTTTGATGTATTGCATATTCAAATATTCATACAGCAAAATATACTGGAGGCCATCAAATTTGAGTGAAAATCATCAAAATTGCTGGCAACTAAAGCTGGCAACTTTTTAAAAAATGCTGGCGGGGAAACAGTTAAAACTTGAACTGATATAGGCATAATAATCGTTTGACAGCACTAATATATATATATTAGTGCTGTCAAACGATTAATCGCATCCAAAATAAAAGTTTTTGTTTACATAATGTGTGTGTGTATTGTGTATATTTATTATGTATATATAAGTACACACACATACAGCGTATATTTTGAAAATATTTACATGTATATATTTATATTCATATAATTTATATCATATATAAATATATTTTTACTATATATATATATATATATATTACAGTTAACTAAATATATATATTACATATTTTTCTTAAATATATACATGCATGTGTGTATATTTATATATACATAAAAAATAAACAGTACACACTTATATATTATGTAAAAAAAACTTTTATTTTGGATGCGATTAATCGTGGGCAGCACTAATATACATGTAAATATTTTAAAAATTTTTTTTTTTGGGGGGATTAATCGTTTGACAGCACTAATATATATATATATATATATATATATGCATTTTAATTTTATTATTTTATACTATAATACAATTTGTAATCATTGTATAATTATATTATATATAATTTTAAAAATAATTTTCTATGGATTTTTATTATATTATATTATGTTATGTTATGTTATGTTCAGAAACTATTTGATTTGAATTTGCAAAACATTCATCTGTACAAAAACATGAACTTACATCCTGATTGGACATGTCCCAGTAAGGTCGTTCTCCGTAGGACATGACCTCCCACATGACAATCCCGTAGCTCCATACATCACTAGCTGATGTGAATTTACGGTACTGGATGGCTTCCATTGCTGTCCACCGAACTGGGATCTTTCCACCCTGTTTAGTGAGTAAAATTCACAATCAGTACACTCTGCATCAATCAGAGAAGAGTTAAAACGCACTGTATTGATGTTCAGTACCATTCTAGCATCACGATGCAGCACAGACAGTATCTATATTTGTACTCCTATCTGATGCACGGATTGATTTGTTTATTCTGAGAGCGGCATGGGCTTCCAAGGCAGGTAGGATGAGACAGCAGCTTAATTGACTCACCGTTGTTGTGTAGACAGCTTCGGGATCATCGTCAATCACTCTGGACAGGCCGAAGTCGGACACTTTACATACGAGATTGCTGTTGACAAGGATGTTTCGCGCCGCCAGATCGCGATGGACGTAGCCCATGTCTGAGAGGTATCTCATGCCGGCCGCGATGCCGCGCAGCATTCCCACTAGCTGAATCACAGTGAACTGCCCATCATGTTTCTGTGCAAGCACAAACAGAGGAACGTTGTCTATCCATCAACAGCGCACAACAGACACACGCTCTATCCACCACGTGGGGGGGCTGACAGTAACACGGCCCAAGAATGAGCAATGAAATGGTAAATCACAGTGGGTGTAATGAACAGAACAGAAAAGATATTGTATTCACTGACCAGATTGTCTAGGGTGGTTTATACGTACCCTGAGGAATGCATCTAATGAGCCATTTTCCATGTATTCAATTACTATCATGACTGGTTTTCCTGAAAGAGCAAAGAACAGACTCCATTAAAGTGAAGTGCGGCCAACACACACTGTACAAAAGCAGTAATGAGAAACAATTCGCAGACAATTCTACAACACTAGATTCACTTTAGTCTGTCGGCTGGGCTTTTCATAAACTCTTTTGGAGTGTACCTCTCCAAAAATAATAATAAATGACCCTCAGCCACAAATAATATTATCCAAATTACAAGATCAAATCATAACAATATGACTTCACAACTGAACTTACGGTAAGTCATAACTCTCCTGAATTTAGAAGATTAATTGTACACTTTAAAAGTTCAATTTCAGTCGGACTAAAACGATGATTTGTCTTGTTTAAATGTCATGTAAACACTTTAGTCGGACTGGAATCGCACCAGTCTGGTTTTTGCAAAGTCAGACTAACAGATTTAGATAATGTCATTCATCGGACTACAGTCGGCTTGGTCATTTTTGATGTGTATTTAGATATTCAATTTTGCAACCAGCCCTTCATTTCTTGACGACCTTTGTGACAAAGGAATACACTTTAGCATATACAGAATTGCTGACAATGAATCACTTCAAATGTAATTAAATATACTTTAAATTCATATTAAATGCAACTGGTTAAACAGTACAGTGCTTTTTTTGACCTAATAAACACTACAGTGCTATTTTGGATTTAAGTGCATCTTTATATGTAATTTCATAGTTATTTCTGTTGTCTTTAAAATATGGTTAAAATGTACTGACAAGCATTTATGGTTAACTAAAATATACTTAATGTAACTGCTATTAAAACTTGTATGTAATGCATTTAAATATATTTGTGATTAATCATTTGTTATTAAGCTGCAGTTTAGTATATTTACTTTAAATACAATATCAAATAACACAACAGTGCAAATTATAATCAAGAACTGTACATGTGTTTTAGTATATTTGTCAACAGATTAAAAAAAAAAAGTACTTTCTGGGCCTTGAACGTGTCAGTTCCGTTGCTGTATATGAAAGCTGTCAGAAAGCTCTCGGATTTTATCAAAAATATCTTAATTTGTTTTCTGAAGATGCACAAAAGTCTTAAGGGTTTGCAACGACATGACAGTGAGTAATTAATAACAGAATTAAAAAATTTTTGGATGAATTATCCCTTTAAAGTACATTTTAAATGATTGTTTTATTTTATTTTTGTTGTGCTTTACAGTAAAACTTTCAATTTGATATTACAAAATTACTGTACTCGTCAAAAAACAGTTATGAAAGTAAACTTAAGTACACTTAAATACACTTAAGTGGCTTTTTATTTCATTGATATTATATTATCTGCAATTACAGTTTAAAAAAATATATATGGTAACACTTTATTTTAAGATGTCCTTGTTACACGTTACATGTACTTACTTTTATAACAACAATAAATTATGCATAATTACTTGCAAGTAACCCTAAGCCAAATCCTAATCCTAACTCTAACCATGTAGTAAAGGTCCTTGTACACCGAGTCTGACAAAATGTTTGCTACGGATGCGAAAACACATACGATTTAACCTAGTCTGAATTTTTTTATGTTGGACGAAAGTTTTGAAGGCCGTGTGTAAACGTGACTGACACAACATGAGATCGTATTTATTTTTTAACGTGCAAAAATTTCGGATGAGAATTTCGGACTCAGTGTGCAAAGACGTTAAGTACATGTAGGTAATTAATATTACTCAGTACTTCAATGTATAATTACACTGTAACAAGGACACCTTAAAATAAAGTGTAACCAAATATACTTTTAAAATTTGAAGTACACTAAAAGTGCACATTCAGTACAATTAAGTACACTTTTTTTCAAAACAAGGAAGTCTTGTTGGTTAAATTAGTTCTAGCATTCAAAGCTGCCCACCTCTGGTGACGACACCCTCCAGATGGACCACATTGGGGTGATCAAACTGGCCCATTATGCTGGCCTCACACAGGAAGTCCCGCCTTTGTTTTTCAGTGTAGCCTACTTTCAGCGTTTTTATGGCAACCGACACATCCCTCTTTCCCGGCAGCTTCAGTCGTCCGCTGCACACCTCTCCAAACTCTCCTGTGAAACACACAACCACCCGCAAGCTGAGTTCCAGAGATCCGGGCCACGTTTGACACCGTTGCCTGTACCTGTGCTGCTTAATACATACGAGTCACACCAGCAGCAGGATTCAGCATTATATGATGCTATACATCAGTACACAGGGGAGTGCAACCAAGAGAGCAGATAATTGGATATGCTATATAGAGGACAAGCTAACACACTTATACGGTTTGTAACTAAAAGCGATGCGGCAGCAATTCATCAATGGCGATGCATTTATGTGCATCCTGGCCTTAAGAGAAGACATATTAATTATAAACCAATCCTACAGCAGCGCTATCAATAACAAGGGGCTAGAGAGATGCTCAGGCCGCTATCGAGAGTGCAAATATTTGGTTGTCATTGTGATAAATGAGAGAGGTGTGTGACTAAAGCGAGGTAGCAGAGAAGACAAGGGAAGAGCTCACCTGCACCGATAACCCTCTCAATCTTAATGCAAGAGGCATCCAGCTCCTTTGCGAACTGATGGACAGCCCTGTTCGGGTCCTCGTAGGTTTCAGGGTCAATGTAGGTTTTGGTGCCTGGAAATTTAACTGTAGAAGGGTAAGAGGATTACTGTTACGATTAAATATGCATGCCGTACACACACAGAGCCCGTGATGGACGTATGCGATTACTGGAGGGTAGAGACACAGGACTGTGGGCTAAACAGCACACTGTGATGGAAGATAGCATGTCAAAAGGTCTCTTTCATCAAATAATAAAACCTATGCTTTTATTTTTCCCACATATTTCATGAAAGCACTATTACATTTTCTTGTTAACCTTCTCACAATGGAGTCGAAAGGGTATTAGCTGTACAGCATGGCAGCAGCATTCGTAGCTGTCACTCATTGGATAATGGGTTTCAGAAGACTGAACTATTAGTTTGAATGCCGAGAAAGAACATTTCACTGAAAATGACCAATTACAAACACAAACACAAAACTATTCTGATTCTTCTTTTTTTTTGTCTCCTTAACATTAATACCATTAACACTTATCGATGTTAAGTTTGATTTTTTTTGTATTATTCATAGTAAAAATTATATATATATATA